GTATATTGGAACAATTGGACGACATTTTAACTATCATTTAAAAACTTAATCATAAATAAAAGTAATAAATTTAACATATAAAATTTTAACAAAATTTGGCMATTTCTTTTAGCAATTTTAATAAATTTTTTAGCAATTTTAGCAACTTTTTTTTGAAATTCTAGCAATTCTTGCCTTCAAAATTCTGGCAGCACTGATTGTGATGATGTTTCTGAAGACAACAGAAGCTTTGGAGACTTTAAAATACTGTGAAAAAACAAGTTCATAACTTTCGTAAAACTTGTACCTTATATAAAATTCTCATCTAGGAGGCTTTTTAAGGAGGCTTGTAAGTTGTATAAAACTTTTGGTCTAGGAGGCTTTGTTTACGGAGAAACACTCTGTTTACATATAACTTTGAAAACTCTCAATCAATGTAGGCTTTTATGAGCAACCGAGGCCTTGTGGTAAATCAAGCAGCTCTAAAATTTTCATTTACAATTTTGAAGCAGACGAAATCGTACAGATTTGTGACTATAGTCTCGTTCAAATTCAAGACGTATAACTTCGTTATTATATTTTTTTTATAAAAAAAATTTCCTTTTTAAAAATTACAAAATTCAAAGTAAATTCATATCGTGAATAAAAAGAGCTAGAGAAATCGTTCCACCGTTGAAACGAATACACGCCCGTGAGCACAGAGATAATACGCATAAAAAGTACAAAAAATCGTCGATTCAAAGTGAACACAACTACACAAATATATAGATTCGCACGTATATATATTATATATATATATTTGAAGAACCATGCATCGCCGAGGCTATGCTCTGCCCAAATACGCGCTGTGTATTAAGAGAAGTTCTCTGAGCGCGGTTGAGCGGTATGAACTGAACCAGTGGCTGGAGGAGCATCACATTAGCTCATCGAACCTGCGACGAGCCTTCACCGATGTGCAACCCCTGGCGCGACTCTTGCATCGGTATTATCCCGAAATTATTGATCTCAAAATCTACCCACCAGTGAATAGTGTGCACAACAAGGTGTGTAACTGGGAGACATTTAACCGACGCGTCCTGTCCAAACTGGGCCTGCAGTTGACTCGCGAGCAGATGATTCGTGTTGCCCGCAGCGTGCCCGGCTCTGTGGATCAGCTGCTGTATAGCATAATGCGTGTCCATCGGGCGGCAGAGCAGAAGGCGCGCGAGCAGCGTGTCAGCACCGAGGAGGAGGATGAGTCGACAACGGCAACACTGCAGCCATCTGCTGGAACGGACGAGGCCAAGTCCAACGAACGGAAACCACTGACCCTGCCCGTTCCCGTGCCGTTGCCGACGACCTTGTCCTTCAGTTTGTCGCAGGCCAACAGGCAGAATATTGACGAAGTCAATCAACTGATACCGACCGCATATGCAGTGAGGAGCCTGAGGCAGGCAGCGTCCGCAACTCCATCGACGACTGTGAAGAGTTCGTCCATGTCACGAGGTGGCATACCCACAGGCGCTAGCACCACTGGACGTTCGAGTCGCAGTAAGCGGCATTCGCTGAACAGACGCTCCTACACAACAACGCCAACTGTCGAGCTGCCAGCAGGAGAGACAGCGGTCATCGGAGGTGCAATGCCAGAAGCAGCTGCGGCTGCTGTCCCACAAACAATGGCAACAGCATCCCGACAAAGAGGTGAACAAGTTAATGTGCAACCAAAACAACGTATGGTACTTTATTCCGTCTATATGCAGGCCGTTAAGAAGCTGCAGCGTCGGAACGCTCGAATCGCTCGTTACGACCAGTGGAGCGCTCATCTGGAGAACATGCTGCAGCTGAAGTGCGAACGGATCGATGAGCTGCAGCGCCAGGTGGCCGTTGCCATGTTGGCCACCCGCCAACAGAGTCGACGATCGAGGCACAAGAAGCGTCAGGTCCCAACAACGATTGGTGGGATGTTAGAGGCTTCCAAAAGACTGTAGATGCATACACACACACACATATATATATATATATACTTGCATACACACAATCACAAAGAAACACTGACATTGCCACTTCTGAATCAATCGATCCCAGTGTCCATACCTCTGCTCGCATATATACATATATATATATATATTGCTATACATGT